AGTTGAAATGGTGTCACTTTGGGCTGCTTTGGAAAGCTGTCCCAGTGATCATCGTGTTTGCACCCCATAGCGGACGGATAAGCTACATACAGAATATGTGTAATATGTAATATATCCTGTAACTACGTATGTCTGCTGATGTATGGTCTTTTGTATTGTAGCCGGAGGTTTCGTCATTGGCAGGTTTGGCCCTTCACTAGTAAGTGTATGGCTTTTGTCGAATCTCTAAGTGAAGTGTTGGAAGGGATGCTTTGGACCCATCAAGAAAGTTCTCAGATGTGTGGCGTGTGTGAGAATGCCAACTCAGGAACCATAACACGACAGCATCAGCACGTTAAAGTGCTTTCTTTCGGAAGGTAGCTCAATTGGAACTGGAAGCCAAAGCAAACCCACTTTTTTCATCTCGGAATCCGAAAGGGCACCGAAGCGAAGCCACCGACTTTACGGGTTCCGACTTGCAGGTGGCCACTTCGCGGACCCAACGTGCACCTCGTACACCCTTGGCAGGGGAGGCCTTCGAGTTGCCGCGAATGGGAGGTGACTGAAGAGCGGCTAGTTTTGGAGCGTTTCTCGAGTCCATGCAAAATGGTCACAGTTAGAAAGGTTGAAGCCATGGTTGCCTGGCTTCGAAGAACTGCGGCATAATGAATGCCAGGCCGGATGCGAAGACCATCTACCAGGTGGAACAGCAGAGCCAACTGGCACTATCGCTTCGAAGAAGCCACTGCACCGACTCCATGGTTCGCTTGGTTGGCAGATGGGTGGCAACTGAAACCTAGCTAAAAGACTACCACGTCCAACGTTTCCCCGGTGAAATCCATGTCCACGTGCAGGTGTGGGAGCAGGTCTTTAACGACGGCCTCTACACAGTTCACACCTGGACTCTGAAGATGGACTGGAGCAACAAAAAGGTATGTGTTTGTTTCTTGATTGCCTCGTTTCAAGGACTTCTGCTCAGGGATGGTTCATGAACATGTGCACTGTGCATCATGATTGCTTGAAGTGTCTACACACATTGATGCAATATGAGCATATAATGCATCAAGTAGCCTTGGGTGTGAGTCGGTTTTTGGGCCGACCAGACACATAAAACACCCCGGCTGGTTTTCCGCAGGATGTGACTACAGCCTTCATCCCATCTTTCCTAAAGAAGGTGCTGCCTGGGCCAAAGTGATGGGCGCAGCTCAGTTGTTAAGACTGGGCGTCCGAGGACTCCTCACTGCTCCAGTCTCGGTGCCTTGGGAGCGGATATGCGGATATGCTGTTGAGTTTTGCGAGAAACAACTGCGTGCAACACGATACATGGCACATACATGTATATATATAATATGTCGGTGTGTCTTCAAAATAGGGTACCCCCAGGCGGTGTTGTTTTCCATTGGTTTTCAGTTAAAGCCACCCCAAAAAGAGAAACCGCAAAAAGGACACACCCGTGTAGGTCATCACTGCGAGCGCACAGTCACACACTCAATCTCACAATGTACATTGGGGACAAGTCTCTCACCCAGTCAACTGCCAGATTGTGGCGCCTTTTTCCTGGAGATGCCAAAGTTTGGTGCGGCTCTGAGTTCGTTGGCGCAACCAGGCAGGCATTGCCAGGCTTGCTATGCAGAAATGGGTTCTGATCATATATTCGAACATAGGCATGCTCCTCATTTCTGAGAAGATCCCCTGACAATTATTGCTCTTGATTTGGCAAGTTCAGTACGGCAAGGTCCGCTGGAGGCATTGACATCTGCTGCAGTCAGTGCGCTAGAGAGGAGCATCAATGAGTGCCCGCAGGCAGGTTCCTTGTGTTTATCGACTGTCAACCGTGTAAAGCTTTCTCCAGCAGCTGATCCTTGTTGCCGGGAGTCCTTTTCAAAATGGAGTTCTAGCCACTGTTTGACAGTCGGCTGGGCAGCTTCTCGCGTAGACACTGCGTATGCTCGACTTGACAGTTTGCTCGTACGCGCGTACGCGCGTGCGTACGAGTTTTAGCACAAAGGACAGCGGGTAGGCACCCCGACAGCAGAACTCAAACTGAGTAGGCGCTTGGGTGTTTTAAGGATGACATACACCTCGCATAGGCCGTCCTGCATGATATTTGCACATCGCGTAACGTAGGTGCCGGCATTTGATACGTCACTACGGCATCAATTACAAGTGGCCACTTGGCATGTTCAATTCCGTTTGCTATGTTTAACTTGGTTGCCAGCAGGCACCTTCGAGGTCCGGGAACGGCAAAGGGTGCATTCAGTGGAAGTATGCTTGGGTTGTTTTTGTCCGCGCACCTCAGACGGCCGTGGGCGGATCAGCAGAGGACTCGAGCACTTCGCAAGCTGCATGGCATCATATAGAAGAGAGGCCGAAGCATTCAACAGGCCAGCGTTTGTTGCAAGAAAAGGTTGCTAGAACTACTGTCCCGAGAAGATCTCAATCTGGAACTTGTGGTGCTATGAGCAGCAAATCAAGTTAATAATAGACGTGTTGGAGGTAAATCCCCCAAACTGTATGCTAGCAGGCTATTCATGTTTGATTTCTTTTATTCGAACCCCCTGCGGGTTTTGGAAACTGCCACGCGTCCGCCCGGAGGGCAGATGCATGGCACATGTTCCATCTCCCCCACCTCTCCTGAAGCTTACGGGAATGTGGTGTGTGTATATCAATCCCGGGAATCATTGATGGGACAAGTGGAAAGGCCCATTAATTAAATGTCCTCATTTGCGCTTCATAAATGTATGCTTTGACTGCTACCGTTGGAACGCAAGGGTGATGTAGTGGTTAAACTGACAGCATGCTGAAGGCTGCGCTTGGCAGGATAGCTACGTCCATGACTGCCTGGTCCAGATCGGCGTCAAAGCTGTTCAGGAGAGACGTCCTGGTGGGCCCCACCTCGGGCTTGCTCAAGTGCACTCCGCTAGCAGCTCTTCCCTCTTATAGCCTGGAAGCAAGTTTTAGCATGCTGAGTAGCATCAAGCACAGGTCAGTCCATCCTTTCCTGAGCTTGAAGAGCTGCTCTGATCAGCTGCTGCTTAGTTTTAGAAGTGCATTGTCTCTTGCAAGAATGGTCAAAGCCTGTTGGAGGAGCCGAATCTTCTGGCAAACTTTGCCTATGCGGGCGCCAGTCCTCTGTGCAACTCCAGCATCTTGACTCAAGGTTTGCCCGATGTGTGTCTGTGTATGTTCCTTGCTGCATGTGTTCACTGCACAACGCTTCTGTGCCAACGAAGGGTCACGAGCACGAGATGCGCAGGGTCGCAAAGCACTACGCTTGCGCAAGTATCAGCACGTGTGAGCACATTTGCACCAGCACATGGCAACAGCACAAGTGGGCACTAGAGACTGTGGGAGCATTAACGAAAACTCACTGGCGCGAATGCACTCAACAGATGCATCAGGGTGCGGGCGCATTCATGTACAGACTTAAGCTTGAAAATATTGGTACGAGTACTGGCACACACTGACAGGGAGAGACGCAGGGCGAGAAAGACGAAGACAGAGACAGGCGGACGCACACAGGCATGCACAGACATGCGCAGGAACAGACACATGGCCGTGGGTCAGCACCAATAGTACCATTTTGGGGTAGGTGCATCACCCATTTTAGTCTATTTTAGTAGGGATTGGGATGTTCACAGGGGGTACGGGGTTTTGTCCCATAGCCACATGGACAGACAAATGCAGATACATGCTCGCACCGATGCGATTCCTTGGCCTCGAGTAAGGCACTGGTGCATTCTACCCATTCTCTTCCTGGGGGAATTACATGTCTTGCTTGGGTCAGGCCGGGGACTTAGCGCTGCATACCGCACTTGGCCTGCCCAGTCCGGTTCTGATGAGGCTGGCTACTCGCTGCAGCCCGACTCGCTGGACAACCTGGGCAGGGTCGGCACCCCACTGGCATCAAAGTCGATATAGAGAGAGAGAGAGATGATGTTTTTTTTCTGGAAATTATTCTCGTGCCCTCCCATGTTGAAATTTGGGCAGCCGGGCAACGATGTTTCCACTGTTTGGGTAGCGCTGGGGACTACAGGCGACCTTGTAACCGTTTCTGGGCCACTTGATTGTTCAACAATCTTGCTGACGCGACGAGGCTCCACCTTAAATCGTGTCTTGCCCGTATTGGAGACCGCTTCACGACTTGAAACGGCATACCTGCATTGCACATTCGACCCATGTCGCAGGTGTCATGGACCCGTGACATCCTCATGGGAGGCTGAGTACCCTTGCCGATGGTTTGAACTGTGTGCCATGGCTGCCAGCCACCTTGCAAGGCGGATACATTCGGCCGACTATGTTCTGCTGGGTGCCTTGGCACAATATGCATAGCCCCTTTCAATGGCAGGCCACAAACAGGAGCCCGTGATTTTGAGACACGCCCAGATGCAAGTCTTGTCAAGAGAGGCCACAAGCGGATTGAGGATTCAGGGAATGGCCGATGCCTTTGCGGATAGACTCTTTTCACAAACATGACCATGCATGCCATGGCCCAAGGTGTTTCCGGTCATGTTAGATAATAAGATCTTTCTTTAGTGTCGTGGAGCAGTCTGTCAACCTTGCTGCAGGATTCCTCATGTCATCCTTCTGGACCTATTTTGAAGTGAGTATCACTTGGGGTGTGGTGATGTCTAAAGAGGAAATCCTGTACCGACAGCCTTTCCCTCAGGCGCTGGTGCAGCATAGCGGGCAGGCTTGCACGCGGGCACGACGATTTTGACGCGACTTTCATGGTTGTGGGGGAGGGGCCTGTTTGAAAGGAATCGTCCAAACGATCCTTTTCTCTGGCTATTGTCGGCAATGCTCTTAGACCCAACTCAGAAAATGCTTGAGAGAGAGAGAGAGAGAGATCGCCCGTTGCCACGTTTCACCGCTGAATCCCAGCTAAGACTGGCTTCGTTTGAAGTTCCACGCATAGCAGTCGTCGCCATTCAACAAGACGTCGACACCGGGGATGTGAGACTTGTTTGCAGGGTCCGGAGTCCTTGAGCTTTCTAGCAACGTGAAGATGATGTCAACAGAGCATCAGTCATTGAGGTCAGACATGTTATATATTTTGGGATCATCTTCGATCTGGAGCTTGCGGCAGTTCCTTGATATTTTTGGGTTGCGACACTGGGAGACTTATGAAGCCTGCTGGTAGAGCTGTTGCCTTCCCACATCTTCCCACCTTTGGGAGTTGCTTTTCACATTTCACATATAACAGTTTGAACACACTAAGGGGGATGCTCACGGTCAGTGTAAGGCATGGTATTTAGATCGTAGTGCCAACACGTCTCGCTCATTTTGGCTGTGCAGGCTCGCACAAAGATCCCTCTAGAATCCTCAATGTTGATTTCGACAGGCTCGTATGAACCGGTCTGGGCATGCGAGTGTGCGCTCTCGCTGTGGTGCTGCGCGAATTCCAGAATGGTGGATTGATGATTGGTGCACCCTTTGCGGACCTTGCTGGGCGCGGCGCGAACTTTTAACATCGAAGTTTGAATCGCTGTGGCTGCGGCGCGGCGCGCGCTTTCAAAATCAAAAGTGAAACCTCGGTGGATTGCTCTCGTTGTGGCGCGGTGCCAGTTTCCAGCAAAAAGTCCCCTCTGCGGACTTTTTGCGCACTGAACGGCTCTCGCCCTGGAGCGGTTTGCTTTGTATGCGAAGTTGCGAAGCTTACAAGTCTCGAAAGTGAGCCCTCTGCGGCCTTTGGCGGCGCCGGATTGCCCTGGGGCGCGGTCTTTGCTTTGGACATTGACCGTCCCAAGAGAACTTCTACAGGATCTTCTATAGAAGTCCGTTCAAGAGATCCTGTATGTCGCAAGGACCTCCACAGAACCTTGTGTAGAGCTCATCTTGTAAAGTTCCAAGAAAAGGATTATGGATTGTGTGGAAATCTCATAAAGATCAGATGTTCCTTCCATTTTGGCACAATACTTAGTTTGTTTCTACGGTTTTCTTATTGCTAGTTGTTTGGCATGGACCCTGGCACAGTGTCCTCAATTTTTTCAACCCTGGGAAGCAGGAGCATCTTTGAATGTTACTTGTTGTTCGGTGAATGATCCCCACCATTGGGAAAGCACCATCCGGTTCAATTGGAAGAGGCATTGGGCGACCCATGAATGTGTTAAAACTAGAACCCCCCCTGGGAACACGCCCCAGGAAGCTTGAACAACATTGATGAAGCAGTTGATTTTTTTTTTAATCTTCCAATAGCTCTGCTTGGATTTTAAGCTGGGCCGATGTCTTGCGGCGCTCAATTCACCAGGAGCCTGACCTCATGGCCTGGCAGCGGCACCGAGGTCGGGGTTGAACTTCAGGCCATTTTAGGCTGTTCCAAACCTGTGGCCTGTACAGAAAGCAGAATGAATGGGCGCCAGGATCCGAAATCGGGTTCTTGGTTTCGAAGAGCTCTCATTTGGGGGTGTTTTGTTTGAAGGTTTCCCGTGTCGCTCACGTTTGATCTGGTTGAATGTCCTTGAGCTACATTGGCAAAGAGGTGAAGGTGACACAATTTGCAAAATGCAGTGTTAGCACAGTACAACCTATGTGGCATGTGTGGCAACCAATGCTGGACAGTCAAGCCAGATTTTGCGTGCAGGTTTGGGAATTTTCGCCTGTGATGCTTGGATGGTTGTCAGCAACGAGTCAGCCAAAGAGGCAGGCTGCAGAGGTGTGAACCGGGCATCAAAGCAACAGTTGCAGCAGCTCAAAGGTTGCTTGTTTTTGTTTAGTCTAAGTCTACTTGAGTTGAAGCTTCTGCTGACCGGCACTGGGCTTCAGATGATTCACGTGCGCGGAATGTGATGTCATGTCATGTGCTGCAGGTTCTGCGAGCTGAATCCTGGCATACGTAGTGAGCTTATTCTTACAGCACGCAGGCAACTTGCTTGTGCGTGGAGTGTTTATGTTGAGTCAGAGCGACAAGGACTTCACAGGGACGCCAGTTTGCGCGACGCGTGCATAGACCAACTGCTGTTGAGAAATTGGAGACACTGCCAGCGTCGCATGTTCCAATAGCCGCCCTTCTGAGGAACATCTCCGTCATTCAGGGAGAAACGATAGTTCCAAAGTGTCACCGGCCAGTGTTGCACACCCGAGAAATTTGACTAAAACAAATGTGAATGCTTTTGCACCAGTTGAGACCACTCAGTGCAGCATCACAGTTTCAGAATCTTAAGAGACCGAGCCACGTGAACATGTCATTGCGACAGCTTGTGCTTGAGCACGAGCCAGGACGTTCACCAGCATTGGTGGCCACCCGGTTGCACAGGATTTGTTGACAGAGATGTGACTCCTTGTGTTGGGCAGGTAAAATGGTCCCCATCATTCCGAATGCAGGGGCCATGACCTCAGTTGTCCGATGCGCACCTTTGAGTGTTGTAGACATAATTGAAGGTATGTGCGTGTTTCTCATGATGCGTTGGCGCATGCACTCATGCAAGCTAGTCGCAGAGCTTCAGTATCAGCTTTGGTTGTTCTCTGTTGCCTCTGCCCGGTGACCTTGAGAGACACCATAGACACCACAGTTATAGACAGATTTGCCAGGTGCACAAGTCTTCCACTGAGGTTTTTGAAAAGGCATGGAAGGCCGTCATCGCCCAGGGGACCTTCCGCTCCACTGGCATGCTTGATCAGTCCCGACCCGAGCAAATGATTACCACAGAAATCGCACAAACCGATTGGGCACCATTCAATTAAAAAAGCTGTGCCCCCCAAAAAGGAAAAAACACAGAAGAACGAAACACTGCGAAAACCACATGCCTTGCAAAATTCGGCATGCGCAGGTCACTACGACTGGACCCTAAAGCTGGATGTGGATGTCGCGGTCGTGCCAGAGAGACTGCGGCAAGCAGGGGACCCGAGCTGTAAAAAATCTATAGGTTGAGCGACGGGGCGAACAGATGCGAAATGCAGGATGACTATCACCAGCGGGTGGAAAGGGAACGATGGGTGTGCTCTCCAAACTACAAAAGTTGAAGGAGGTGACCAGCCCCCCGAATGTTCTTGCAAGTTGGGGAGGGCTGAGGGGCATCGTGGACATGGAATCGCTTGAGCCACTTGGCACGCCCTTATTCGTGACCCCAAACATCGAGATGTCCTTCGCAGATGACGTGGCTTTTAGGGTCGGAGATGACGACGATGGTGCCTCGAGGATTTCCAAATTTGCTTTGAAGGGTCGCAGATACGCGTGCGCCTGGAGTCGAGCGCTTGTTCCCTTGGGTGGTGAATGCATGACTGTGGCAATGGCATGGGTTTGAAGGTGGCAGATGACGCGGTTTGGGGACACGGATGCTGGCAACGTCGCGTTTATTTCGACTTTTATTCGGGTGCCATGGGCAGTCACAAGGCAGGTCAGCGATGGGCGGTCCCGAGAAGTGACAAAATTTGGGGTGCTGGCTTGCTAACAGGAAGCTGGAGTGATGAACCATGTGTATTTACCGGCAGTGCGGGCAGAATGCCCGCAGACCAAAGTTGGCCGGGGAATGCGCAGCCTGAGGGTTGCCGCAAGAATACGCCGCTGCAAAAGCAACCCCCAGCCAGCAGAAACCGGCTTGTGGGAGTTTTGAAGCTTTCGGGTCAAGTTGAGTGCAACTTCCAGCCGGATTTGCGCGAATGTTTGGTGTAAGGTCCGCGAAAGTTTCGCGAAAGTCGACGGACCTCCCCGCCAGTTTCCGGAGATGAGGCCAACGGGTCCTCTCGTGTGCAGGTAACGGTTGTGAGCTGGAACTGCGGAAACGCGCTTCGCGTGCTACTTTGGAACTGAAAGGTTGCGACTTTCGAGCTGGGGCTGCGAAAGTGTACTTCGTGCATTACTTTTGTGATGAATGTTCTGAAAACAGCCCCGCGAAAGTTCCGCGATGGGGTCCGCGAAAGTTATTTTTTTTTCTCGCGAAGATGGCGGTTTCCGGAACAAGGAATGTCAGACAACTGTCAAATGTCAAATGGATATGCTAAGAGGAAGCGGCAATGGGCAACATAATAGGACAACTCACTCGCACCCAAATTAGTGTGACTGTGTTTTTTCTATGGAGAACACGGTGGGCACAACTCCCATCGTAAATGATGTCCACCAAAGGGTCCCAATCAGAAACAACATGAAGTGCGGCTTGCTCGCCCGTTTGAGGCGCTGCAAGCGCACTGCCTCAAGGGATGCGGCATGAAGCTTCTGGAAAACTTCGGAGGGGTGCAGGGCTTACGTGGAGCGCAGTGCGCTTTGGAGCTGATATCGGCTCTTGACCGACATTTTGTCAGAATGGCCTTCACAGGTGTTCCAGGTGCTGCTGTGAAGTGGAAAGCATGCCTGAGTAACTCGAGTGGCTGAGCGAACTCTTGTTTTTTTGCTCGTGGGCTTGCCGCATCAGGCAATTCAGCTTTCAACTGATGTTGGAATCATTGACTGATTATCGCTGCTCGACGTCAAAGGTTTCTTGGGACATTTGTGTGGCCTCAAAAGTTAGAGGCAGAGGATCAAAATTACTGGACAGACCCAATTTCCAAGGGCCACAATGCTGCCTACAGTAAAGGAGCAGCTCTACCACGAAGGAAGCATATCGCGCTCAATCAAGTGCAAGAGGTGTGAATCACGGTTGGAGTCATTGTTAGCATTGCTGTTGGTGCAAAGAAGAGCTGAAGTTACGTGGTCGTGTTCAGTTGAATCTATTGACTTCATATTTTGGTAGCTTATCATTTGGAGAGTACAATCATGTTGTGCCACGCTTAGACACAAACGGCTTGGTGGAAGATGTGCATGCTCTGTTTGTTTTAGCTGTAGGTCAGCTTTGGTTTGATTGTGTATCAGCGGGCGTGAGTTCCAGATGCAAGCCCAACTAGATTGTGTGCAAGGGGAGTGCCTTTTTTGAAGAGGGAGCCAGCAACAAGTCAAGTCAGTGCTCCTCCCTTCGCCCTGCAATCCTCCGTTTTTTGTGGGTTTCTACCCTTGGCGCATGAATGGCTTGATGTCGGTTCGATAGACCTGAGGAGCTTTGCAACAGGACGGCTTGTGGAGAATCCAAGTGTAATAGTTTCATTCACACTCCCGGACGCTGAGATCGAAACCCATGCTCCAGTCCACACCAACTGGTCTGTAACGTTGGAATTCTGTGGATGATGCACGATTGACCATAGCTAGTCAGCTCAAAAGTGTTGACGCCTCAACACTCAGGACTTCAACGGACCGGTGGAGGCTTTCAGCAACGATGCGATGCAAGCTATAGCTGACGGCAGCACCCTCAGCGAGAGGTAGAGAGGTGACACTCAGCATCAGAGAACATCGCAACGCCTAGGGATGGGCAGGGCAGCAGCCATTCTAAGGGATGGTTACCCTCGACGTGTTCCAAAGAAAACCTAAAGCCAAGGAATGAGTTCTTGCACCACGTCTTCGGACTGGAAACAGCACCCGGAGAACGACTGGATATATTCCTGCGCGAGTGAGCCAGCCAATTTGCCTTTCACACACACAATCAGTTGCGGTCGTGTTAAACTGAAATGGTTGTGGAGATTGGTAACACGCCGTTGAAAGCAAATATTGTTTGTTCTTGGAGGCGTCAATGTGCCTTTGGAGCTTGTTGGACATCAAGAAGATGTACTGGCTACTGGGCATGTGAGATGAATTGCATCCCACACTTTTCTATGTAGAGCACTCGTCGCGTCTCACATCACTTGAAGCGCTAGATTCTCAAGGCGCTTGCACAGAGTACATGTTTCTGCCTATGGCATTGCTGGATATTGTCTTGTTATTTGTTTTGTGTGTGTGTCTGTGGCGTGATGTGTGATGTGCTTTGTGTGTTGTGATGTGTGGCGTGTGGTGTGTGGAGTGCTTGGTTGCTTGTTGTGTGTGATGTGTGAATGGTTTGTGGCTTGTGGGGTGCGGGGCTTGCATGTGGCTTGTGGTCTTGTTGTGCGGGGCTTGGTTTGTGGTGCGTGTTGTGTTTGCGTGTTTGTGTTGGTGTTTGTGTCTGTGTCTGTGTTTTCGTCAAGCTGCGCGCATTGTCCAGCATGTCAAGCGGATGGCACACCGAAAGCCCCGCGCAAGAAGTACCGGCCGTCTTGCTGCGTTTGCCCATTAAACTTCCCAACACTACAAGAGAGCTCTCTTCAAATTGGCCCAAGCAGTCATGGTCAAAATCTCAAAAAGCCAAATGTTGGCATTGGCTTGTTGATCGTGTGTAGCCCTGCAATGTAGGTGACGCCGAAGATAAATCGATGTTATCCTGCAAAGTAGATGTTGTTTTCCTCATAGCTAATTCGACATGAACAAGCAAACAAAAGCAACTGTTTGCTGTTTTGCTGATGCATCAGTTGTAGTAGATCACATGAAAGACGGATTGGATCAGCCTATCTACCGCGTGCTGCGAGCAGAACCGTGCTCACAGGGGGAGGTTGGATACGTTCTAAAATTCTAAAAGTTGTAAATCGCTTCCGTTCGTTGGACTCACATGCAACAACTGCTTGACCGTCTGAAAGTTCCAGGTACGCTGGGGGTCAACACGGAGCGCTCTTCTTTGCTCCTCTCTGACTTTCACCAGGCCGATTTGATTTCTTTGCACGCGCCGCGACATCGTGAAGCCGCAAACTTGATTCTAGGAAGCCAGCTTGCAGGAATTGTTGGCCAATCCGTGACATTTATTTAGTGAGCACTTTGCGAATTTCCTGGAGATTTCTTGCCGCGGGATGTGAAGCACCCTGCTTGAAGACATGATGTGGGTCCCTGATTTGGGCATGCACACATTGCCCCCCCACCCCCTTCCCCCAAACCTGCCTGACCGCACGCACGCGCGCAGGCACTTGAACGAGTGTGCAAACGCACGTGCCCGCCCGCCCGCGCCTGCCCGCGCCCGCGCCGACTCCCATGCCCACACCCACAGAGACGCACAAACCACAAGCCCACCGCGCTCTGAACGCCCTCATGCACACGCGCCCGCACACTCTTTTGTTCAAGCCATTCGAATCCTCTACACCACGTTGGATTGCACGTTGACATATTTGGAAGGAGAAGCCCCGGCCCTGCGACACCATGCATGGCAGCTTTCACCCATTCGCGCTTCTTCGGCTGCAAAACGAAGCTTACCGGCTATGTATTTTGGGTTATACGCAAGCAAAGGAACCCCATTTTGCGGGACTCCAATATGTTTGAGTCGCCGCGGTTGTTTTAGATCTCCTTTTTTGGAAAGGCCAGTTTAGAGGGCGCTTCCACTGGGCCTCTGGGTCGGGTTATAAAGCGCAAAATGGGAGAAAATGGGGAAGCCGAGCGAATGGCTTGCAGTGATTTGCTGAGCCATGCACCCTTTGGCTTGGGCTGTTGACACACCCTTTAGCTGTCATGTTCAAAGTACCCCCTGTCCTGTTTCGTGATTGTTGAAGTGTTTCCACATGTTGCCATGAAGCCTATGGGTGCTATCAGGAGATTCCATTCACGCTCAATGCCAGTCCAAGCATGAGAGGCAGTTCACAGCGTACCCACAACCAGCACATGAGCCATTTTGGCCTTGCAAGAAAGATGTGGATCAGTGAGTTGGAACCGTATTCATCAGGGTTGCTCTTTGCGAGCCCTTGCTTGAGAGAATAAAGGAAACCCCAAGATTATAAGGCAACATATGGCAAAATCATAGAGGGGGTCCCTTAATTTATTCCGAGTGGTTGTTCAATCCGGACAAACGGTTTTCCGCTTCGAGGCAGGCTGACCTGCAAGAGACTTGTTTGAAGCAGTCCGGGTACTACTACATCCGAGGGCCGCCTGGTTCTCAGCCAAGGCGCTCTTGAAGGGCAAACCAGAGACTCGCTTCTCTCCAAGGAAACCAGGCCACGCATTTTGAGGGGTCATGAATGGTGATTGTCCTTTCCCCTGAGTCGCAAGGGAGCACAGTGCTATCCAAATATTGGTCAGGTAGTCGACGTGTATAGTTGCTTGTCATGTTTTGTGGAGCTTAGGGTGACGTCTACAGCGACCAGCACAACCACCAGGACATGCTTGGTGTGCCAGTAACAGCGATCCCTTGGCTGAGTGTGCATGAAATGTGATCTTGCATGCTCTTCCAGTACTTTCACCACGTCATCAACTTCTTCAAGTACAACCCGCACTCATACAACATCTACCGCATCTCGCCGGTCAATTCAAGATAGTGCCATAGTTTTAAGCGCAATGGCCTCGTTTTGCCTGACAACCATCAAAACTTCTTATTTAGCGAAACCCAACAGTCTAAAACGACATCTGGCATCAAAAAAAAAAACAGCTTGGCATTGGCGATGCGATGAGTTAGAGCGGGATTGTTCGCACGTGGTGCAGAATCAGTGTAGTTCTGAGGCAACCACATCCACTATGACAAGCACCGGCGCAAGCCCTATGCTGGCTTGCTAAAGAAGGCATGATTTGAATGCACATTCTTCCTTTGCGGATTGGAAAATGACATGTGACTGGCTGATCCTGGGCCAGAACCTAAGGTTGCAGTGCAAACTCGCTTTCTCAGCCGGGCTTTGAGAGGGTTTAGCACTGCACCTAAGTTCCCAAAGTGGCTGGCGCGAGCATCTTTCACTTCGAAGGACAAGCATCGATCAGCGCACAGCATGAAACTCATCAAGCGTTTCGCCGGTGTCCGGCAGGACGTGAATTTCAGAAACAACTTCCAGTGTGGGTCATCACAGAGGAGAATGAGAAGCGCGGGATCCCCTTCGCCGACCCAGCGTAATTGGCTTTGAGAGGACAACTTGGCAGATGCAGTGCAGCTCACTCCCAGTGATTTTGAAGGTTGACCTTTAGGCATGTCGAATGGTTTTGTTTGAGACAGAAAACTACGGCCAAACCGCTCAACTGCCAGGCGATCGAGATGGTTCTGGGCCTGTTGCTTTGCTCCGCTCCGGTGGTTTACTGCCGGGCACTCGCGCTCCAAGCTGACATGCATCAGTGAGTGGAATGCTCAGGGTGCACACGCCCTCGCGCACCTACGGGGGTGGCTGCGCAGCAACCTCAAAACTCGGCAGCCGTTTCCTGCAAACCGCGGGATCATCATCATTTCCATCACCGTCATCACCGGAACCATCACCATCACCATCATCTATTCAGAAAGCCGGAGCCAATGCCGAAGCATAGCCTTTCACCAAATCCCAGAATCAAACGTGAAACATGTTGTTGCCTTCCTAGCGCGTTTCCAAAGCAAAAGGGTCAGGTCACAACAAGTGGGAGTTGTTCTAAAGGTGCTTTACGACGAATTCGTATTCGAGGACCGTCCAAGTTGGTTGAGGACCTCCGCGAAAGATTCGTGATGGATTTGAGAAAGCAAGCCTCTTGTTTTTCCGCGCAAGTGCTACGAAACTGTTACCAGTATCTTGCGCGTCTGTGACATGTGAAAGCACTACGGGTTGAGTAGAACTCTCCTGTTAAGGTAGCTGAATTGATCCCTGCTTTGCGTTTGCTCATAGACTCATAGGTGACAACGCCTGGTGAGGCTGCAGCTTGATATGCCTGCTAGGTTAGTGCTTCAAGTGTGCTCTTGGTCAGTAGCCCGACTCTACGCTCTACGGATGATGTTTCGCGAAAGCGCAGACGCCGATTGCGGAGGTGCTTCCCCAGCGCCGCGCAGGGCGAGCGGTGGGGACATGGATCGCCTTTTTGTTGGAAATTGACGTTCAGCGTGCGCCCATTCCTTCGTATGTGAGCGGACTTTCCGGCCGGAGCGGAAGTTCATTTCGTGGACTAGTTTGGCTTTGCGTTCGTACCCACTTTCTGGCCGGAGCTGCGGAAGCTCATTTTGCGTACTAACTTGGTACTTGAAAGTTAGAGCTTTCCAGCTGGAGCTGCGGACGTGCATTTTGTGTTCCGTCTGGATGACTGCGGACGTGCGTTTGGGGAACTAACTTGGCAGCAAAAGTTGTGACTTTCTGAGTCTAGCGGTTAGAATGATTAGAAGTGCAAACTGAATCCGGGAAAGGTTCGTACCTTTTCTCTTGCGAAGAATGGCAATGGATTTTGAAACGACCCCATCTCATGGTGCCCAACACTGAGGGGACATCCCAAACGGGTCAAATGGGTAGGTGTTAAAGTGAAGCCAGCACGAAGCCAACTCTTTATTGTTTTCTTCTTGGCGCCTGTTGCCAGGGTTTTTCCTGCATGGGCGTGTTTTTTGCTTTGTTGGTTTTTTTTTGTCGGGCGCGCCCTTTATTGGTTGGTTTGAAGGGGAAAGCAAAAAGAAGCCCACCATTCTGTAGTCAGCATTCTGAGACAAACATTCGGGAGTTCTCTAGGCCTGCAGCCACTAGATCGACTGCACTTGAGGCGCAGGAGGACACTCCCGGGTATCGTATGTGGGTGTCCGTTTTTCCGAGGGGTGTATCTCCGAAATATGGCACCCCCCGTTCTCTGAAAAGCGGTGTTCCCTCCCACAAAAGCATCCACCTACCTACCCAAAAAGTGCACTCTCATTTGGTTTCCCTTTGAACTGACCCCAAGACGGGGTTCCCAACTTCTGACTCAGGGGCTGGATTCATGTGCGGCCGGAAGCGCAATTGGGCCACGGTATCCTTGGATGGGCTAACGTTCTGCGCCTCTCTGTTCTTAAGGATCTATTCTCCGCAACTCGTCCATATGTCCTTTATGTTTTTCCCGAAAGCATTGTGAAGGGTGCTTTGGGACAAATCTGGCGCCGATTGCGCAAGATCTAGCCTAGACTTCAGCGTGCTCCAAGGCCGCTGAACCCCGCAAAATGGTTCAAAGTTGGCACTGGCACCACATTCGCGTGTGCGCATCGCAAAAATGCTACCGGCCACTAGTGTTACTCTACGAGTGTGGGGGACTGAAGTTTTACCTTTGCCAGATGAAAAGGCCTGATTGAACGTGGCTGAGCCAGGTTGCTCCAGCCAGTGCTGGCTGCTTTGTTCAGGCCGCCAAAGCGCCATGCGCCGCATCCGTGCCACCAGCGCTGCGCGAGCGGATGAGACCGCGGCGAAGGTGAGGAGACGCACTCGGAGGTGAGTGACCAGGGATAGCGCTTTCTGATGCCTCCGAAAGTGCGGGGCCTGGAGGACTTCCTCCTGGCCAGAAGGGCGCGTCCCGATTTGCTTGACAGCGACGCTACTAGGTCGAGATGCAGGAATAGGTGACCTTGAGGTCTACACGGTCGCTAAGGAGTTGAAAAGCAACCAGGTTCTGGCTCGCAAGCCGCTCCACAAGTCGGTAGTGTGTGTGTGTGTGTGTGCGCGCGTCGCGTCCTGACCTCATGTCTGAGCTGGCACTCGCGCAGAGCGCTGTCAACTATGGCAAGCGCGACCAGTGGTGAAGAGAGCCCGATACAATGCTGAAGCGTGCCTAACTACTGGCAGGCATTTGGCTGACAATTCACAAGGTCGATTCCCAGAAAGAGCGTTCGTTCGTGACAGATAACAATGCTTAAGGAGAATCTCCCAAACCGCATCTCCCAAACCGCGCTCAAACACTCAATGCCACCAGCAACAAGGCCAATCGGATCCTACAGCGCGTCACATTGACATGGAGAGCAGCCATCATGGGCCTGACACTGGACAGGCCACCCCCACCCGAGCGTTTGCAATCAGCTTGCATCGCAAGAGCATGGAGCCATGCGCTCTCCGGGGGGCAGCGCGACAGATTGCCGAGAGCTCTGGGAACTTTCCGCGGAAAGCCGGATGCTTCCACGGGACAAGTCGCAAAGACTGTTTTGCGCATCTTGGCCTGCCGGGAGGCAGGAGTATTGGACGCTGCCGGCGCAGTCCAAGCCGGCAAACACTGAACAAAGTAGCGAGCTGTGACCGCATGGCGGAGCTTCGAAGGTGACGTTGTACAACGAAGGACATGACGTAGAAACGCCTCAGATGGATTTGCTTGCCGGCCATGAGTCAATCCTGACGAGGCCGAAGGAAGTTCAGAAGTATAGATACGGAAGCTCGCGAGCCTCAATGGTTTATGGTGTGAAGGATAGCGTGGTTTGATGATTTTTCGAGCGCGTGCTGAAGGACCTCTACAGCAATTCATGAGCCGCCATGGCCGAACCCTGTGCGAGAAGGGAAGCCAGACATACGGCCACTTCAGCCGCCTGACAGGGTAGCCCAGGATGAAGTAGCACCAAGCCTCGTGTTAGACGAGGCCACGTATCTACGTTCCCTGCCGAAATTGTTTAAGCTACGGCCCAGGACATGAAGCGGGGTGCAAGTTTGCCTTTCTGGTGACATGTCACGCCTTTTGGCCCTCTTGGATCAACTTTGGGACGGCTGGCGCCAGGACCCATTGCTGCGAGCCGCGGAGCCGGCAGAGCCGGCCGAGGCGAAGGGAGGGTGCAACGCTTGTCCCAAAAGCATGCCGTACGTTTGGGTAGACGAAAAGTGGCACAGAGTCGGAACGTAAGAGTTTTGGAAAGTTTTGGCACAGTGTTTCTTAGGATGCTCAGCAAAGGAAAGCCTTCGCGAGGTTCAGGAGCAGCTCAGTGGGTTCACGTAGAAGCCGCGAGGGACATGTCAAGGATGGTTGATGGTGTTGTCTATTTTGGAGCTAGAGGTTTTCATACAAGTGCATTCAAGCACGTCAGCTGTTTGGGCTGCTTCGTCCTTCAATTTGTTTCACGGTTTGGCATTGCTTCATGTACCGCTGACACAGGCTTTCCTTGGATCCAATGTCTAAAAAGGGGCGAAGATGGTTGTGCAATGTGCATGAAGGCCAACGCAAAAGCTAGAAGCGCCGGAAAGCTGAGTCATGGAGAATCCGGTTCGACTTTCAATTGGTGAGCATCATGTACGTTGGCATGACGATGTTATGTCAACCAACTTCCCCCTTTTTGAACTCAGTCTGCCATTGGAGCGAGAGCAAACAATGCCTGCAGGCTGGCGCTGGTCCCTAAAGCAGGATCGCCTGAGTGCTCGATGTGGCTGGGAAGCCGATGCGAACTGTTGGGCCGCTTTCCAGCTACAGTGCTTTTTTGACCTGGAGGGACAGGTACGGAGAGTCCTGCAGTGAACCAAGCCTGCAGTGGAACTTCCATTTCAATGCTGCCCTAATTCACTAATCAATGGGATGAGTGGCCGAAAGGCCGCTTTTGTATCGACCGGAGTTGCTTCGAGCTTTGCTGAGCCAGTCTTTCTAACGCCATTCAATGGTGCTCAGCACATTAAAGCAACTCTGGCCGAGCCTAGCAATGTGATGTTTGGTGTCAGAGAGCTGAAACGAGCTCCTCCTCTTGGCTGAAGACGACGCTGGAACATGCAGGAAGGCTGTTGGCGTGATCAAATCGCCGTGAGTGATTTCTCGCTTGTTCTTAGGGCATTTGAGAAATGTCAGAAGGTCGACTCTCTACTGCCCCCTTTCGGAGTGTGGGCAATACACAGTGAGTGCCTTGCTGCTCACCTGTAGAATGAAAGCTGAACAATTGCTCCACAAAACAGCATCAATCCAGGCAGAGACTGATTGTTTCATGAACTGAATGAATGTTGTATTTGATTTCCAGGATGTGTCCAAACTAGGAAGCCAGTTTAGGATAGTGCTTCAGAACAAACTAAGATGACACCAAGTGTGATCCCCCTTTTCATGGCCATGTTGGATGGTTTGAACAAGCAAAGGGGGATGTCGTTTGCTGTGGGCATCTACTTGGGATAAATATACGCGAATGATTCCACCAATCTTGGACCCGTGTGAACGGTGTGAAATAGCAACCAGAAAGCAAAAAACTCTCCCTTTGTTCGGACGGGTTTAACAGGAAAAACACTGCAAGTTGTAAACTGGCAAACTCTTTGTGTTCCCACTTCTAAATTTCGGGGCCCTCTGATGGATGATCCGCGTGCTTTTGCTGCGCCTGGCGCTGGCGTCGGGCTGCCCTGGGCACCCACCTTACGTCCAGGGCCCGGTGGAGGCGCTATGCGCCGAGAACTTCCCCGATGCTCGGCGACCGGGGCGAGCCAGGTGTGGGACCAATGAACTGCGTGCCGTGCGGCCGTGCGGCTGTGCGGGTAGGGCGCAGTTAGCCGCTTGGGTTCTCTAGCACCCTATAGTTGTTTGCTGGTTGGTGCCCTAGAGTCTTAGAGGTGTAGGTGCTCTAGAGTGCCGTAGGGTAGCTTTGGGAGCCTTGTGCCAATGTGCCCTTTGGCCTTGTGCCATGCGGGTGGGGGCATGTGACCAATCTGCCGAAATTAATCCTGTGGTGGCGGTGTTGCATTTGTCCGAACGCACCATTTGAGGGCTCACATGGGCTTGTCTTCATTTTATCATGGAACCTGATCAGACATCCCCGAAAGTGTGCGGGAGGCGACAGGACAGCACCCTTTGGCCTAATTGTCCGGTACCCCAAAGCACGCTCCATGATGTGAGGCTACTAAGTAACTAGAACCTCCAAAGTGTTTGTTCGTCTCTTGAGGAGAACGCCCTGAGGTGGCTGGTGCACTTCTATGGGCCCAAATGCCGCAGTTGCCGGGACCTGGCGCAAATGCTGCAAGAGGCAAGAGGGGAGGGCTGGGTAATTTCGCCTAAGGGTTGTGTTGGTGGGATTGGAGGGATTGGATTGATGGGAGATTTGAAACCCTGGCTTTTGTGGAGGGAACTGATCAGCTAGCCCCAAACCCCCAAATCAGAAATCCAAACCACACTTTAAAGGGAAGCTGATCAAGGTCGGCACCGGATCAATGAACCTGTCTGATCAACTGTTGTTGTTCCCCAAAAGTGAAGGACCCTCTCTAAAGGGGACGCCCTCCTATTGATCAACCACAGGTTTAGCCCGTCCAGGGTTGTATAACGTGATTGCTACAAGGTACTTGGTGGTTGATTTGCCCAAACGCCCCATACGGGGGGCGAATATAAACACCAAGGCAAGAGTGGCCATGTTTGCTGAGGTGTTGGGCGGACACATGCTGGATTGCTTAGGGACACCTCTTCCACCATGTGACCTACAAGAATGCCGTTGATGTTTGTCACTTTTGTGCGAGTTTCTGGCCCTGCGTGCTCCGCGTTCCTGAGGTTTTTTGCAGGGCGCTCGATCGGTCGGTCCCGCAAACCAAGCCTCAGCGAGCCTAAGATCAAATTGTACCACGTAGCACCGCCGATATAGCCAAGCTTGGTAACTCATGTGAACCTTCTTCTTCCGAATGAGACAAGGAGACGAGTTTCTACATTTGTTACATTTGTGAATCTTGGCATTATGCTGCTTGTGAACTCGCTAAGCTGTTTTAGTACCACTATCATATTTACTGGAGGCAACTGGCCGGCAAGACGAATATGCCTGTCATCCCCGGAAACGTTGCACCCCCAAGAGCCAATTGAATCCCCCAAACGGCAAGCTTGGTGTGACTTGTACCAAAACAAAACAGTCCTTTGCTTCTCTGCAAAAAGTCTCAGAGATACGCCCATCACTTCAAATACCCGACGCCCTTCAGCAGCCCATTCCACCCTTCGTACCCTACACAACTCAACTGCAAGCTCACCCCCCACCCCAAAGCCGCTTTGGTGGATGACAAGTAATGTGGTCGGCCGGCACTTGACGTTCGTTGGGACACAGGTGTCCTCATCGGATCTGAAGCTGGGAGCCGTAGACTGTCGGCAGCCCCAGAACCAGGAGCTTTGCAGGAGCGGTGTCTCACGTCCCGGTTGGTTTCAGCGCAGGTATTCAGGATTCCAGGTGGTTGAATTTCTCCATGTCTGTTAAAGCCTATAAGACGGACCCAGGCCCAGTTGACCAACGCGAATCATCCACAAATGATTTTTGGGTTTCAACTGGTTTCGGGTTTCTTGCGCCTTCTATTTCAGAGCCTTCCCCTTGATGGTAGCGGCCTGGTTTGACAGAATGTTTGAAGAATTGGCTCCAAAGCATTGCGGGCCTGAACAGAGGGATGACCCTTGAGCCACCCAGGAGCCTCAAGGTTTGGAAGCTGCCGGTCCTCATGGCGCTGCCTGGGACGCGCTACAGTGGACCTTTGGAATCAGAGGTATTGACGCAATGGATTCGTGATATCTCAGATATCTCCCGACTTGAAGTGCTACCCCCCGCATCTGAACAGATGAGCCTTTGCCCAGCCTTTGAGCTCTATGAAGAGCCACGTGTGGCACGTGAGTTCCTCGCGGCTCACAACATCTATCGCTGCACTGCAGGGATCGCCATGCTTGAGTGGGACCTGCCTCTTTTCCACAGCGCTCGGCGATACGCCGACCGTGCGCCTTTGGATCGCCTGGCCCACAGCGACCCACGGGAGCGCAAGGGCAAGCATGGGGTCTACGGGGAGAACGTGGCGATTGGCGAACACCTGTGGCCTGGCCAGGTGGTCGCCCGGTGGCACGACGAGATTCGGAACACCCAGGATGGGGTCTTCCGCCCAAAGCGGGCCGGGCTGGGTCATTACACCCAGCTGGTTTGGCGGAAGACCCTGAGGCTGGGCTGCAGCTTAGGCCAAAATCGGCGGGTGGCGGTGTGCCACTATGACCCTGCCGGGAACGAGAAGGGGCGGCACCTTTCGCAGGTGGGGGCTGAATTAGCTCACTCAGTACGTGGGCGCATTGTTCACAGTTTCTTTCCAGATGAAGCAACAGACGCACTCATTTCTCGCTCACCTGAGCGTTCCAGGGAAATGAATGGAGATCATTTTTCTGGTGGTTGCGGCAATTGTTGCGATTTCTTCCCATGTCCCGCAAAAGTTCGTTCATTTTCGGAGACACCACTGGCCGCTACAGCTCAAAGTTTCAAAGTTTCATCAAAGTCTCCGGTAAATCTCGGAAGTCAGCAGCACCAACTGCTATGAGCCAAGAAACGTGTTCCAGGGGTCTAGGCATGGCAGGGATTTTAGGTTTCCCTCAAAACACTATCAGGCCCCTCATGGGAAAGGTCTTCTTTGGCATTTGCAGAGAATTTGCCCTTCCATCAACTAGAACTTAGAGCCTGACTTGGGGTTCCAGAGAGCTCCACGTGGGGAGGGTCAGGTGGCTCCGCCGCTGCCAAACTATGCTGGGATCGAAGGCGAGGAGCGGTGTGGGGGCCTCGTGGAAGAGATCGGAAGGCCGTGAGTGAGAAGCGAGGGCCATACCCGCCCACTTGAAACATTGGGATGGTCGGGGAAGGAGGGGGAACCCGCGCTGGAATTACATTTGTGGCTCCATGGTGGGCATGACTGCAGATAAATGGAATCGGGGCACCCCCACCCGCCCCCACCCCCATCCCGAAAGTGGGCGGGGATTGCGGGCGTTTGGCGAAGATAGGCTTGAGCGAGCTGCGCTGCACCAGCTCTCAGGGCCAGGGTGACAATGAGCATCTTAGCCCACGCGCCAGTCATGGATAAAAGTTGTAACTTGCAAGCCATATTTCTGCATGCTTCTAGGAATGGGACCATGCCTTTCCCTTGCATTTTCGAAGTTTCAATTCGGGTGGGAGGACCCCCTAGATGCATTCCGAGGGAATGATTCAGGATCTTGGACAGCCTTGAGTGATACCAGCCACCTATGGCTCTGTGGTGCCTTGAAGCCGTCGGTTGGGTTGGGGCGCCCAGCTGAATGAGTTGCAGTCATTGAGGGCGGGTGGTTGGAGGTAAGGGGCCAATGTTTGATCAAGAATGGAGTGGCGGCGATTCTGAGATTGTATCCCAGTATCGCATGGCCAGCTTATGTTGTGTTGTGATGTTTGCCTGTTGCTCATGCAAGCCAGGTTCAAGTGTCTCAACAGCCGCAACTGTGCCAGTATATCATCAATCACATGTGCAGCTGTTCTTGTTAGTCAGTCAAAATTGATCTTCTCACCTTGCTAACACGGCCCATACACGGCCCTCAATTGGTTAATATAGGTTATGTTGATCAATATGCTGTTCACAATCCCTGCAGCCACCTGGTCGCCATTCCACGCTCATCCTGAGGCCAAAGCATGCCCCGCTTCGAGGAGTCAAACGGAAGATCAGCTGAACCTCCGTCAGAGGTAGATCAATGCAAAACCCGAACTGAGCTTTCAGGGATGATCAACAGCAAGGAAACACCATTGTCTAGGGAATGAGTAAGCTCCAAACAGCGAAACAATGGGATGCCTATCCCTTTTGCTCGGTCCCCGTTAATTAAATGGGCAGCGGGGGTAAAACTGCGAGATGTTTGTGACTCAAGTGCATCGCTGGGATTACTGCTCTATGGATTTCCCTTCAAACGCCACCAATTTCAAGGCTTTGTCGCCTACAACATTCTGCTTGGCAGTCGGAATTCTATTTTAGGCCTGCATGTGAACGCGGCTAGTGGCGAGGAGCTCTCGCGAAGTGAGCTCTGCGCAGCCGTGCCGGGACTCAGATCTTGACTTGGCTTTGCTTCGCAGACATCAGCAGAACCCAGCATGGTTTTGTCTTCAAAATGGGACAACGTTGGGTTGTTTACCCCGGTGGGCCTGCACTTAAACCGCGCACGCCCACATGCGTGTTGATCAAAAGGTCCTTGTAAGGACTTGTACTGTGGAGCACCATAGCACTGCAGGCATTTGTGCCTGCGAAACATTTGCGAAGAGCATTACAACAGCTTCTCGGAGGCATGCTTGTATACACTTGTATATTTGCAGACCCCACTCCCTTGTACGCAGGGAGATGCGCAAGGTGCAGAGGTGTCCTTGATGCGCTGCCTGCGCTGCCTGCGCTGGGAATGGTGCAAAGCAAAACGTTGGCCGCAGCACTTCGGAGATTTCGGGAATTCTCCGAACGAGACTTGCGAAAGCCCATGGAGCTTGTTGCAAGGTTCTGCCCATCGGGCCCAGGACAGAGCAGCCACGGCAGGCCCAAGTGGAGAGGGCGAATGGCGGTGACTGCTTTCACTTCAAGTTGCTGCAAGCCTGCCAGAGCAAGTGAACGGCGTGGCTCCTGCGCAGCTGCGTCAGCAACTTTGGCTCCAGAGCGCAAGCTGCAAACAAACTTCCGCGGCAATGGGGTTGCGAAACAGTTGCGAAAGACATGATTTTCTCGCAAAGAATTTTGTTTTCCGGAAGCAGGAGTTTTGATCACCCGCCACGCTGATTTGTTGATAATAGTCCAAGCCATTGATCCCTCCATTGGCAGCCTCCAAATTCAAGCAAATTCCAGCCGCCCTCTCTCCAGCCACGTGCGAAGGTGATGGACATCCAGAAGGGCTTGGCAGACTTGACCAAACGCCTTGACTCAGTGGGGGAGGCCGGCGTGCCTTGTGGCTTGTGGAAACCACGCCTGGGTCATGCTAGCGAGGGGGAGTGAAGTGCATACGAAAAGTTCTTCCCAGCATCTGTCCCATAACTCGAAGTATGCCTGACACCTCTTCAACGCCCGACGGCGCCACCGGTAGGAAAACTCCTTGCTGCGCGAGGCACGGTACATGTTTTGCGCCCTTCAGACACACCAATTTCAGATCGCAAGATTTAGATATGAAATATTGAGAAGTAAAGATCCTCTTCTACAAATATGTTGGCTCCAGCATGACTTGACTTGACTCGTTTTGCCACGAACGTGTCGGCGTCCGCTTTGAGAAGCCAGGAGAATACCTTGCTGAAGGATGAGATCGATGCGCGGATTGAGGGAGCCAGGCCCTTCGTTGTGGACGCATGGTAGATTCTCTATGGGACTTTTAAGCGTATTCTGTTCCGGGGAATGACTTGCGAGTACTATGTCTTGGTGAAAGCCTGCAAGATGGCGGATCCCTGGAAGTATAGCTTGGCAAGCATGATCAAAATGGAATCAAAAACTGCTTGCCCGCGCGAGATATCATTGCATGATCAAAAATATAGACTACTGAAATACTGTTGCTGAGATGGCGGGCCATCGACCCTCAATTGTGCGAGCCGATGAGCTTTCCTCATACACTCGGAGTTTGAGTTTCGTGCAGATGCTTTGCGCAGGCAGCCCGGCAGACGATCGGGCCGAGGTGACAGGCACTGACAAAAGTAGTGCAGTTGATTTCTGGTCGGGCAAGTGCGCCGTGTGTTTGCGAGCTTTGGGAAGCAGTACTATTGGCGCCCGCAGGTAGCCGAAACCCTGGCTTTGTGAGTCTCATAGCTGCATAGCTTCATCAATGAGACCTGTGTGCATAAGTGTGGCAGCGTGGTCGCCAAGCAACAGAAAAGAGCTAGGACTGATTTGCAACACCAGCTGAGCTTGCATTTGCTTGTCAATGTCACCTGTCACTTTTACCTTTGCTGCCCAGTGCAATTGTGTTATGCTGCGCTTGCATGGAGGCCGTATGAAGTACCTCAAACTGAACATGGCTCGCCACCAGTCAACAAATACACAAGCTTTCCATAGCATACACGCCCCCTCCGTTCACTTTGTGGAACAGATTCGTTCCCAGATACTTTTCGAGAACCGTCACAGTTTTCCTAGTTCAACCTATTGGACATCAAAGCAAACGCCAAATGTAGCGCTGCTGGAGCGACGATGGCCTTCGCCAAGAGCAGGCCTTTGGAGGCAGGAGATGGTCGCCAGAGGGACAGCGATGCATAGCAATATATAGCAATATTTGTATGTTTGAGATTGGCAGGCAACAGCCCTTGATGCTTGTTTGCTTGTTTGTGTGCTGGTTTGGTTTGGGATGGGTTCATCAGTTTGGTTGTTTGTGTGTATTTGATGCCCACCTGTTTGCCTGCTATGCTATGCTATGCTATCAGTGACATGTCCGCTCAGAGACTCAGAGGAAGACTAACTGGAAGAAGCTGGCCCGCAGCAGCAAGCAAGTAGAGCTCAGATGCCCAAAGCAAATCAACCAAATCTGTCCTGTAGCATCGACCAATTCATTCTTAGTCATGGCAGCCCCAATGGCCCATTTTATTTCCGAGTCCTGTGAACAAGTGAGCCGTTCTTCAAATTATGCACTGGGCAACTAGCATCTTGATGGATGCTTTTACTTCAAGAGCCTTGAACACAGGAAGCCAAGCTGACGTGATTGAGTTGGTTTTGTCACAAGCAGACTCTTGCCAGGTACCTTTGGAAAGCGGCTTGGTGGCGGTGCCCTGCCCTGCCAATTGGCAAGCGGATTTGCATATCAATATACCTCGGCTTTATTTCACCCCGCAGTTGTTTTACAAGCATCAACAGCCAGGTGTGTTTCGCCAATACACGCGAGTTTGTAATTTACACTCTTTGGGTGAGTAGAGTGCCACGTATTTGTGAGCAACTTCAGGCTGTCAGATGCACCAACATGGCCCTCGTTTGAGCGTTTATGCTGAATCGACCTCCCTTGGGCTCACAGCTTCCTGCGGCGCGTGCCGATCCAACCAATCAGCTCCACAAAAGCTCTACCAAACCTTGGCAGCATTGGACATACACACACACACAAGAAGTGGCATGTGTAGCCTGGCCATTCTGAACTTTTGGAAGAGTGCAGCAAGATCAAGGCAAAGCTCCTGAATTGACCCCGCGTGTTCTGCTTCCCGTGCTGGAGCATCCAGGCGCAGGCTTGCATGCAAGCTCGCACACCCAAATCCTGTGAAGGGGCGACGGTTCTGACGTCAGTCCGCGTGTCCAACCTTTTTTTTCTTGCATGGTATATCCTGGCATGGCCAAAGTTTGACCAAACAACATCTCCCTTGTAAACACATGTGCCCCTTTATATAGTCTCGTTTGTGCGTTTCGTGGCCGACTTGTCTCCCTCCAACACCAGGTCCAGCCATGAGGCCTTCGCTGCCGGGAGGCAAAGGTCCTCGACTCAATCGGCAGAATGGTACCGTCGGTTGACACATTTTAAACAAGAGCCTGGCGCCCTTGGCACCCTTGGCACCCTTAAACTCTTAGTCTTGAAAGAGTTGTGTTTTGACAATAGCTGATTGAAGCTGCTTTGACAGGAGGGTGGCCCAATCTTGGGTTTAACTCTTGCCGCCGTGGATGTTTGGTATGGACCCCATTTCAAGGATTACTGTGGGAGGCCCCGTGGAAAGCTGCCAAGCACATGGCTGTGCATAGGCTCACTTGACAGAAAGATACCTTTGGCAACTTTGAAGTTTCGAGACATTCCACTTGAACATGTTATGTTTGGATGTTTCCTCGACCCCGACTTTCCAGTCCTTGCATTGCTGCGCCGGCCACAGGAATGAACATGCGGATGCCAATGGGGATGCCTATGATGGGCTTGCCCATGATGGGAATGCCAATGATGGGTGCGCCGTGTGCAAGCAAAGGGTCTGCAATGAAGGACATGAGGTATCTGGCAAGCGCACAGCTGTGTGGTGCTACGAGGTATGCCGATGATGGGCATGCCAATGATGAACATGCCGATGATGCAGGGCATGAACCAAGGCCAAGGCGGGATTGCTGCGCAGAAATTGATCATGGCTTGACATGATGGGTGTGTTTTGGTTTCCCGTTCGGTTTCACTTTGAAACCACCCCAAGATGCACCCGACAAACAAAGATATGTAATTATGTTGTGTATTTCATGCAATGTTTTGCTGACAAAGTTAATCCGACCAGGCCAAGTGCAGGGACAAGTGCAGGGCGCGCAGGGCAAAGCAAGCGCCCCCGCGTGCGGGGCTGAGCAGCGTTTGTGGGGAAAAGCATGCTAACAAGAACATTTTGGGGATGGATTCAGTTTTAACCATCCCAAGCAGATTTTGAGAGTAGTTTTCTTCCAAAGAGGGGCCAGGGGTGGCGGAGGAGGCAAACACGCCTGCCATCCATCTGAAAACTCCTCCAGATAGAATGAAAGGTTCTTACAACCTTTCTCAAAGAGGGCTACTGATTGGCTTTGCCTAGGGAACGGGCATCGCATTTCCGAGGCCTGCAGCTGCAGGCTCTGCACCGGGTAGCCAGGGCCTGACTGGTTTCCGAAGAGTCTGCCTCCGGATGGAGCTGGAAACTCCGAGCGCCTCTCATTTAGGTGCGGAACACCTCCAAACACGGCTGATGGACATGAGTGTCCAGGTAAAATGTCGACGGACCCAGTTTAAGATTCGCAATCAAAGCCGGGTAAGTGAAGGCAAGGGAGTGCCTCGCCTATGCGTGCGGATGTGAAGTGTTTTGACTATCGGATTGAAGTATGCACATGGGAACATTTAGGATTGTATATCTTTGCAGGCACATAGACGAAAATGCTAGACCGAGGCGGCTGATCTATGGGGTCATACTAAGACGGTGCACCCACTCATGTCCTACCTCAACGTTCACGTACAAGCCGAAGCACCCGAAGCCCGCCCTTGAACATGGCATGTCGTTGATGGCTCGGCATGTGAAATCATTCACACAATACGGGTAGTATTTTGAGATAGGTGTGTTACACACTTGAAATTTGTGCCCAGAACCTCTGTTGACCGGCTTGGTAGGTGGTTCTACCATTTGGTTTCATGCGGTCTAGAGTAGGCCCACATGAACCTTGATAACAATGTTGCTAGAACCAGAAGTCACTGGGTTTCTTTGGCGCTGCTCACTTAAGTCAAGATTAACTCGCCATGAGAAGCTCTCCATTGCTTGGCATCGTAGTTTTAGTGGCGGGCTGGCAAAAACTTGCGACCCCTCCCGAAATCGCGAAAGAGTTGTCGGCCTTCCACATGCCGCCACGCACAACACCTTTCAGTATTGCATGTTTATAGATCAAACTTTGCCACAACGGTCTCTTCAACGTTCCGTTGATGCGCAGTGTGTTGTTCACAAACCCTCAACTACTGCAAACATTGTGTGCCACGGGCAAAGAGAGCTAATTTGCTTCCAGCATCTTCCAGCGCTTTCCTTGCAAAGCACGTATACTTTGCAGTGGTGACATGTCCATTTGCTCTAGGCCTGAGACCTGTTCAGGGGTCAGCTTTATGTTTTGGCATACGAATTCCAGGATTGTCTTTAACTGGTGAACACAGGGCATAACAGCTAGAGCAGCTAGAGGCCTCCGAATGTTATGGTTGTCAATAAACCAAGCCTTTGGACTTATTTCAATCAGCGCTTGTATGATGATTCAATCAACCTCATTCAGACTCCTTCAACTCAAACGTTGGCGTTTGCCGCATTGCCTGGGCTTTGAAAGAGCAAACATGGGAGGTTTCAGCGGGGGATGCTAAACATGCTTGTTCAACCCATATTGCTCCACACGTGAGTAGCAAGCTCTGATGTTTGGTGCTTGCAGTGGTACACTTTGCTGATTTGCCCAATGCTCAAAATACAAAATGGCAGATTCCAATGGTTTGATTATGAACTTCCTATTCAAACTCTTAACAGCTGAATTTTGATCCGACACGAGGAGCCAGGGAACTCCAACAGCTGTCGACACTGCCTTCACAAACTGTAACTTTACTTCTTGACTTCTTCTCGTGAGCCGCATTCTCAAATTTGTCGGGACCCCTACTCACGAGTGGATGTCCAAAAGTAGCCAACAGGAAACCCAGAAGTGACCCAAGGCAAGCCAGAAGACCTGGAAAGCCGACCACCAGTAGTCCCGAATTGGCCATGGACAAAGCCCACGTCTCCAGGCCAAAGTGCTCCCGCAGGCAGGATGCAGCTTCACTGGCTGCAAAATGGTAGCCACCCGACCAGTTGATTGTTTGTTTGTTTGTTGGTTGGTTGGTTGGTTGGTTGATTGGTTGTTGTTGTTTATGTTTGTTCGGAGAATCGATTGTTTTGTTTTGGATTTGATTTCTTAAGTGAGTCTTTTTCAAGCATGCATCAGTTTCTAGCAAGGAGCCTGGTTGAACACACAGCTCAGAATGTCGCAAGATTCGCCGATGTTTTGGCCCAAGCTCTATGACCACCTCCTCCAAGTCTTCTAAGTTGTCCACAACCGCGAAATTCCGACTGCAGTCGCCAGGCACCATGGGGGCAGAAGTACGCCCTGAAGTGCTGGAACGCAAGGATTGTGGGCAAGAGCTAAAGTAACCCAGCAATCCAGTGCTCAGGATAACATGGGCCTCATTGTCCGGATGTGTTTGAACTGTCTACAGTCCAAACAAACAATTGCATGGGCATTGGTATGGGCCCCTAACCTCCTTTATCTACCTACTTTCTGCAGCCCCCTTTTGGTGTGGGGTTGCTTTTTTGACCCTTGCAGCAACGGCGACAGCATATTGGCACTTGCTTGAACAACACCACCATCACCTGAACTGCCGCACGGGCTCTGTTGAAGCTGCTTGCCATTGGTACTGCCTTTGTGGGCCATGCCTACAAGAAAAGCAGCAGGAACCCATCCCTGGTCTTGGCAAGTGGCCAAATGACCCTCTCTGGAGTCTTGAAAATTCCACGTGATGCTGTGAGAATGGAGAACCTGATCGATTGGTGTGAGTTGTGTGCTTGATTTCTTCGCTGTGTGATCTGTGTCTACCAGGAGCACTTGCTGCATGATCTGCATGTGGCAGCAAGAGAGCTTGCCCACAAGCACGAGGACAGCCCGCCCAAAAATTGCCCCCAATATTTGCGGCTGAGGCGCTTCAATTTTCTTGCGTGCTTCCAACACGGTTGATTTGTTTCTCAGTGTTTGGATCCTGCCATGTCACAGTTGACATGTTGTATTTTCATAAGTTTTTCTTGGCAGTAGTAATGAAGGAAGCTGACGTGGTGGAAATCTATATTTCTTCAATCTAGACCTGTCCAAACGGCTTATCCAAGTCCAAGTGAAATCTAGTGCGCCAGGAGAAGAGAAGGGATCGAAGCCGATCCAGAGACGACAGCTGTGCTTTGCATTGTCATTGGAATTTTCAGGGCGCCCCCACTTGGTAGCAACCCGATTCACACGCAGGATCACAGACAAGGCGGAAGCTCCCATCAGGCGCCACCGCCACCTGTAGAAGAGGCCGGACACTGCTCGGTTCACATCAGACGTTGGCTCAAGCTGTCCCGGCTGAGGCACCCAAGGAGGAAGAGGTGAAAGAAGAAGCGCCACCACCGTGCCACTTGTGTGCTCCTCAACCTGGTGCTCTCACACCGCACCCCCCCCCAGATCCGTGAGAATTGCGAGGCACCCGGCAAAGAAGCCCAATGCCAAGTGCAAGTTCTGCCAAAGGGCTGCCAAAGGCTGCGCCAAAGCAGCTCCCAAAAAGCCCCAGGAGGCTCGGGAGCGAAGCGCAGCCCTGCCTTCAGTCGACCGAGCAGAGAGTTGTTACACAGCACAGGGGCACCTGCGGCTTCATTTAATGAATCGCGACCAGTGTTTGTGACAGCAGCCTGCCTTGTCACGCTCTTCGAATCCAATGTCAAAGATTGCATGATTTTTTCCGGATGCAGCAACCTGTACCCAATCAAGCCATCGATGTCTGCTAAGAGCAGTGACCGGGATTTGTGCCCATGCCCACCCAGTTGCCTAGAACACACTGTTGCTTTCGTGGCAAAGACCAGCGAGGATGTTTTCGTTGCTGGCCTCACCCTCCGAGGCAGATGCAAAAGAACACAAAGAGGCAGAAAGGGATACTGCAGGGCTCTCGATTCCGGCCGCGTATTTGAGACTGGTCAGGGAGATACCGCATCCGCGTTCATATCTTATGCCGCCGTCCTGTCAGGACCAGGGTGTTCTTGCCAGCAAGAAGAAGGCGCATTCGGTATGTCCTTGTTGCGAGCAAGTTGATCAGACAATATATTGTTTTTGCGACAGATGTGGAACTGGTGCAGGAAGGTGTCACTGAGCTTATTTACCAGCAAAGGATTCCCTGAACTTGCTTCTGTTCTTTGACCTGCATATTCCTTACACAACTATGCCCCGCCTGTTGCCCAGCATTCATTTATCAAGATTGGGACTCAGGATGACGATGAGGAAGATTACTCCCGTGCTGGTCTCAGCACTGTCGACATGAGCGACTTGAGTGCTGGAAATTAGTATCATTATCAGTATTATCATCATTAGTATTGTCATTATTATTATTATTTGTGTTGCTATCATTGAACATGTTGTCTGTTGTCCAGAAACAGCTTCTGCCACAGCTGGCCAACACAATATAGTCATGGCGAGCTCGGTAAGTAAGATCGCCCATCATCAAGGTCCCTTACTTCTGAGGTTGAAGAAATAGAGTAAACGTGCAGATGTAATATTGTCTGCACTGTCACTGGCATAGTGAACTAGATATCGATAGCGTGCCCCAAGCAACCACGTGTTGCGTGCAGCCAAGTTCAGGCATTAACCAAAATAATCCTTCATGCTGTTAGGTTCCGGCCAAAAAGACTGGCCATGTGAGCTTCCAAATATCCTACTTTACCGCAGTCAGCGGTTCAAGAAGTCGTAGCGGATTTGCGGATTGCATCATGGCCATGGAATTGGAGGATACCCAGGAGCATGCTTGCGGGTAACAGAGTTTTAGGGCCACTTTCAGTGATACCAAGGGGATTCCCGAACATCACGGGGTGGGAATCCTACTTTGTACAGTACTTTGGTACAGTCACCAATCCACTGTGCTTGGGCATTCTAGTCAAAAATATATCACAGAAAGGGGTATGTGTCAAAACAGGGGAGCCCGAAATCTCAATTTTCCCTTTGGTTTCCCTTGAAACCCGCCCTACGGATACCCTCAAAAAAGCTCCCCCCCAACCGTTAGACACCAGACCCCAGGAGCTTCTGACTGAGCAGCCGGCGAAGGCAAAGTCCTCGCGCTGGTACGTCTTGGGCGCCGTGGCTGCTGTGGTCTTCGTTGGAACTGTGGGGCTCGTCTCGGTGAAGCGCAGCCGCGCACAGACCTTGGCCAACAAGAAGGACGCGATGAATTTCCCAGGGCTGGTTTTAGATGTTCCAATTTTGAGTAATCGTTGGTTTGAAAGTGAAGGCTGAAACATGGGGCTTGGCCTGAAGGACTTGGTGCAGAACTGGGAGGAAATCCCCGGAATCGACCGGGTCGTCAAGAAAGCCGAGGGCTTGGAGTTGAAGCAGCCCTTGCGAAACCTGAACGACCTCTTCTACTCCTCGCAGCCGGAGGAGCTGCCATGGATCCGGACGGAGTGCGTCATTGATACGGTGCAGGCTGCCGCCTATTTGGGCCAGGCAGTGGTCTTCCTCTACAAGGCGATTGAGTATGACGGCCTGGAGTGCCCGGACAACACTCCGGTGGGCTGTGCAGTGAGCGTTGCCGGCTTCATCACGTCCATCACTTGGATCGCATCCTACCTGTCCTTTGCTGCCAACGCCTGCGGGGCGGCCGTGAACTCGGGAGCTTTGTGTGCCGGCGACTGGACGGCTCTTATGGCCAACTTCGGCGAGATGGCCACAGTGGGCGCTGCTGTGAAGGACGACTGCGACTTCAGCACCGACTGGGGCTCCATCCTGAACCTTACCGACTCCTCAGGCCCCCCTCCGCCCATCTGGCAGCAGTTCGTGCCTGCAGGGGCGGCTCCCACCGTTGAGACCTATCAGAAGGTGAAGGCGCTCCGGGAACAGAACACCAACCGCAACATGGACATCACCCAGTGTGTTATGGACGTGACCAACTCAGCTTCCTACGTGGTTCGCGCCATCTTGCAGATTCGCTCGGCTACATCTGCGTGCCCTGATCCCAAGGCATGTGCAATCAACATCATGAACCTTGGCCGTTCAGTGGGATGCATGGCACATCCCTTAAAAGTGTGAAATGTCCAGGGATGTCTAGCACATTTTTGCTGTTTACACCTGGGGCCACATTTTGGCTCAAGCCCCAAGTAACATGTGCCTAGTGTCGCATAGTGATGCATGGTACAGTATCGCGACAAAATATCAGCCGTTTATTCGAGCCGAGCGGAACTGGCTCCCATTTGCAAGCTATTCTCCCTCGATTCTCAGGTTATCAGCCGGATTGCGTATACCCACGGGCTGTGAGACTAACAAGGTGAACCCGAGCGGTAGGGTGCCACCCACCGCTCGAAAGGGTCAACCTTAATCTATTTGCTCGAGTCAGCACCCACAGCAATGTTCGATGGGCAAGGATCGTCGGTTACCTTCGGAGGATCGGCAGGAATGGCGGCTCACGCTATCCTATCCTCTCACAAAACGGTGGGGTCTGGTAGCCGTGGAAGCGGCGACGTAATTGCAGTAAGCGCTGGGCCCGCCTTGGCGAGCGAAGCTGGGCAAGATCATGTTATGGAGTCGATCGAGGGCTTCGTTTTGGTCTAGGGCGCCTTCTTGATTCATGGAGGCGAAGCGAAGGATCAACTGCTCAATTCCTGTGCAGGGGACAAGTTTAGACTTCCCCTTCGCTCAGCAGGTGAATCTCTAGCTGCGCACCAACAGATTGATGAAAACAAATCGGAAACAACTGTATTGAATTGCGTTTTCATGCAGCTGTCCAGCAACACTACGGGATGAAAGGGATGCAAAAAGAACATGTGTCGCTTGAATCTAGAGGTTCACGCCCGTCAGGCGCATGAGGCTGAATGACCAAGTAGCGCTTTAAACAGCAGAAGAGGCTGCGTCCAAAGTTCTCGCAAGAGAGATCCATGCGTGAAGAGGCCGGTCTATGTGACAGCCCGGCCCTAAGCCTTCAAAGGAGCATGGCAGACAAAACAACACGCCGCAAGATGGAATCGCCGTTCTGTCCTGTCTTGCCCGTGTCTACTGACGCACAACTCCATCGGCCGGTCGAGATGGAGAAGCAAGCCTTCATAGATGCACGGGAGCAGACTCGCGGCGACGCCCTGACATTCCATTTGACTATGCCTTAGCCAGACGCAAGATGGCCGCGCGGGCTAAGAGCGCTGGGTCAGGGTGCAGCCAGCGCTGAAGGGGCGTTTCGCGGGAAGATGAATAGACAACGCGCTGAAGCGTGCAGAAACGTGCCAACGAGGAAAAGTCGTGGTGGTAATGGGGGGAGAGCTGATGTTGCTTTCAATCCCCGATTCAATTGATCATAGGCCCAATGCGTTGGTGGTGAAGCGACGATATTCCTTTCTCCAGACGAAATGCGCAAACTGCTGGAAGACGCAAACGCAGAAGGGGCAGAGGATCCACCAGTGATATTTGCCCACGTTGCATTTCTTTGCAGCGCAACTACGTCTGCGGACGGCGCAAGACCAAGCGATATCTCTTTTGTGCTTTCACGGGTGATAGTCATTGCCCATGTCCTACGCACTTCGCACGCAACTGCGGCGGGTTCTCGCAGTCTTTGCAGTCTTTTAGAACGGTTACCGTCGCTTCTTGTAACATTTGAGCGGAGGCCCAGAAGCTAAATGTTGCAAACACTTTCACGGCTTTGACCTAATGACTATTTTAGGCTACGGAGTCTGCTTCTGCGTGGGTAGGTTGAAATGCGCGTGGGAGGTGTGAGTAGTCACGCGATGTCCAGTACGTTTTTGGCACATTGAGCCACAGCTTGGCTCAAGCACGCACACTGGTGCATGGCGCAGCACCACACGGAGTGCGCTTTTGCGTGCCGAATGCAGACATGTTGTGTGCAATGTGTGTTTGCCAGAAAGGCTTATGGAAGAAGAGAAGTGTCGTGCCAATGGGGGGAAGGTGCTCACTCGAGCTTCCGGGCTTCCAACCCTCCAATTCCCCCGCAGCGCCTGCGTTTCACAAGATTTTCCCCAACAGCTGAAAGCAATGGGGTTTCAATGCCAAATAGGCTCCGTGGTCCGAGGTGGCTCTAAGGAGAGCGTTGTGAGAGGGTTCTTGCGAGGGCTCAGCCAGGGTTCCGCGAGGGTTCCGTGGATGCGCAGGAAATTCCGAGGAGGGTTCCGCGAGGACGGCCAAACCTGTCTAGATCTCGGCTGGATCTCGCCGTTGGACAGTCGCAAGTTTCGCTTTCAGAAGATCGCCAAGTGATCACGAGCGTTCCATGGGGATGATTTGTTGAAGGCCATCGCAAACATTTGCGACGAAGTGCTTTCCTTGATTCACAATCGCATAGGCGACGCGCGTTTTTAGGTGACTAAAGCATCAGTGGCCAATAAGTTTGTGACACATATCACGACGTTACAGTGGCCCAAAAAGTTGAGGTGACTTTCCAAGGGCTGTTGATGTCCAGCGTTCCATGGGGGCAAGAATCCCGGCAAGAAGTTAAGGCAACTTCCCGTTACCCTCGCTTCCTGAGGAACATCATTTCCAGCTTCGCGTGGATCTCTCAGTTCACGGCCCTGGCTGTTTCCGACTGCCCGGAAGGGGGCAACCAGAAGGCCTTATGCACTGCGGACATCTCGGACATGGTCGCGGCAGTGACCAACGGCCCCGCCGCGGGCATCGCCTCCACCTCGGACTGCGCGGACCTGCCAGACCCGGTGGAGGAGGAGAAGCACTTGCCTATGAACTGAGCACGGAATCGCTGGCGCTTTGCCCTATTTTGCCCCCTAATTTCAAGGATGGTTGGAGACCGTCCGTTTTCAGTGACCACTGACCGCACGTGCCAGACTTCTGGCAGCGGCCAGGGGCACTGATGCTGGTGTTTCTCGACACCTAGGGGGATGGACGGAACTCATGGCTCCTGGGTTGGGCTGTTGCCGCGTTGAAACGCGTTAAGCTGCTGTTGTGGAAACGTGCTCGCTTAGGCTCAAGAGGGGTCCATGGTCAATGGTTTGGTTCTCAATGCCCAACCCTGCATAGCTCTGCCCCAAACCTGAAAGCCCTCTGGGCAAACTACCCTGTGGGCTTGCAAGTACACTATGGGCAGAGCTATCCTGCGTACCTTCCAAACGGCTGGGGCAATCACTGATATGTGTTGCCTGCCTTGCTCTCCTTACGTTTCTATACTGCTACAGCAACTGCCATGCCACTGCGACAACTGCAGAATGACTGGATTTTGCGAGCGGGGCGAAAGGTTGCGGTTCATTTTTTTAGGCCTTGGAAGGAGGCCTTAGCATGTCACCACTTGAGTTATCATGTGCAACCTTCGTTTTGGGCACCTCCGAGCAGTGTGTTTGCGGCATAAAATAATTGGCCTCGTCCGCTGCTTTTGTCGCCGGGCGCCGCGAATAGGCCGGACCTTCAACTGCAGCCCGATCTTGAAGGATCAGATCCTGGGAACTGGCCTCAGAGATTGCCTATGAGTGTTCCTGAGCTATGGCGAGAGCTGCGGTTTGTGACTCCCCCTATTCATAAATGCAGCCAAACATGTTATAATATACATGTATATATATATATATACGTATCTTCTAATTGTAGCTGCCAATACGAAAACAATACTGCCCGATTTCGTCAAAGTTGTTTTCATGACAGAATGATTTCTGAAACAACGCTTGAACGTTTTGTATGCTTCCACGGGTGTCACGGGTTTCTTCCAAGACAACCAATCAGCTGATGGGTGTAAAACTCTGGGACGGGCGATTGCCGATAGGCTCCAGCTACTTCAAAAGTGTGCTGCAGCTCACAAACATGGACGAGATCATTGCGGAGATCAAGAACTATGCGGACACACTCGACGATCTTCTGGCGAAATTATGTTTTGTTTCGTGTATATTTTGGGGGCTGAGAGGGAAGAACAGCGAATGTAACTCAATCTATATCTGCAAAATCCCCGAAAGAGTTACGGGGGGCGGGGGTTGGGAGGCATTCTGCATTCACGGACCGCAAATGCATTTGGAGCTTCCCCGGTTCGCCAGGTGTACAATCCCGGCAGCAGCACGGCGCCTTCGAACTTCATTTGCCAGGCGTGACATCAATCTCGCGCCAAGCTGCTCAGGGGCTCAGAGTTCGGGTCAGGACGCTGCCAAGGAACAAGCGGCCATCTCCGATCCAAGCCCCACCAGCTTAAACAGTCCGGTCACCGAACGGATCGAGTCTCTTTCTTTTTGTCACGCGATCTCGGGCTTTGGAGCGCCTTTTCTTTCTTTCTTGTACCAGCACTACACTCAGTTGCTGGGGTCCTAAATACCTGCAGATACCACAGCTCAACAGCTGAACGGCGAGCGATGTTGGACAGGGCAACTCCCTGCCCCCTTGTTGAGCGATTGATTCCTTCGAGCAGACGGCCAGACATTGCCCCAGTCATGTGCAACACGACCGAATTTCCCAGATTTTCTATGCCTTGCAGAGTAACGTTTCTTTTGTTTGCAAAATATTCACAATTCTGATCATCGGTCTCAATCTCTCAAATGGCCCCCATGCAACGCCATCTCGCTTGGGCGGGCCTGGCTTCCACGTGGCACCTTCAGGTGTATCGCATCTTCACCCTGCCAGAAGCTGAAGACTTGTCCCAGCTTCAGGCTTGCGCAATGAGAGAGACATTGCAGGATCGGAAGCGAGGCTTCGAGTTGGAATCTGATATGGCTATTGAATAGGCCTTCCATCGACATACAAACGATGCCCACAATCAATACCCGCGTAGTGCCAAGCGCGCAGCCAAGAGGCGGGCAAAAGCTGGGGAGAAGCATACTGTTTTCGGAGGCCAAAAGGGGTTGAGGTAGTCATCGCATTCGGACTGTAAGTTGAGCCGACCCGGAGTTGCAACAAGAAGCGTTACATAGGATCCTAGGAGTCTGCCAACTCGGAGCGTTTGTTGATTAGGCTGTTTTTGGTGAATTACTCCATCATGTTTTGTCGCTGCTGCGCGCGCAGGTGGTTCTTGACTCTCCCACGGCCATTGTGCCAAACCCAGAGCGCTTTGTTTTGCACTGCCGTCAGGTTGTGGCGAACAAGGTTTAACATGACAAAAACTCTTAGGAGGCCACTTTGGAATGTCGCTTGTCAAAAGGCACCTGAGCCAGCAAATCTGATCTGGAGACTTGGGAGATATATCCTGTGCTATTGGGGGCTGAGCTTGAGGTACAGGCACTGAGGCCGATTTGACGTGGACGTGTGTTTCCTGGCACTGCGGGCCAGAACCCAACAACCCGGTTTTGCGAATATGGGCTCAAAAACCGTGGACAAAGCATGTAAACAAATACTTTCCTGTACAAACAACGTAAAAACCTGTATGCAAAAAGGCAATCTCTCAAACCAGGATTTTCCATATGTGCAGCAAGCGGATGATTGCAACATGAACCTTTTGGTTTCATGGTGGCTTTCCTTTCGCTTTCCTTGCGGTATGAGTCTTGACTGAGGTTCTCCGGTTTTTTTAAACATATTATTTTGGTCTGGGGGATGTTTTGGGCTGGAAACCGAACACTTCCAACTTCTCCCGGCCATCCCGGGCTTCGGGAGCCCCAGGGAGCCTCTTCCACGGCTGTCTTTCCCTTCAACGAGCTCCGAGGTGCGCTGCGCCGGGTTTGTGTACCTCCGCTTCGTGGTCCCGGCCGCCAAGCTCTTCGACAAGCCCAGCCCCCAGTTGCGAGCTGGTACGTTTGTTGACTTTCAGGACGGGCAAAAAGGAGGCAGTGCATTTCACAGGTTCTAGTGCAGACAGCCGGAACGTGTTCAACAGCTTGGATGCCTCCAGATAGATGGTGACCTGACAAGGACTCCCTTTCAAAGGAGCATACATTGCAGGTTTCAGGTTGGCTGGAGGGTACCACGGGGCTACAAATAGGGGCCTTGTTTTTTGAGGCTTGCTAGGGATAATCAAGTGCCAACCAAAGCATGCCCATGTTTAGCGGTTCCATATCGAGACAAACTCTCTCCCTAGGCTGGAGGAGTACCTGTTTGATGACATGAAGCTCAGCTATCAGGCACGCCGTGCTGCATTCTTGTGTCGAGCGAGGTTGGGCCAGTCAAAATAGGGTCGTATTTGGTGAAGGAGCCCTGTTTAGATTTGCTTTACACAGAACCCAAATATCCAGTCTGGGTCAATTGGGACGAGAAGAGCCTCCTCAAGTGTCAAGCAGTATCCGAATTTGCCCCGATGCAGATGTTAGACCGTAACTCACTGGCTCACCCAATCTGACAGTCATGTTTTGTTCGGATGTGGCGCCCCGGCGATTTCCATACCCGCAATGCGCGCGCGAAGTTTCATGGCTTCAGGAAGGCGGCAGAACGGTGAACACAACCATCGGGGAGTACGTCGAGGCGTGTGACACTGCGACATGACACCAGTTGGCAGTTCTAAAGGACGGGACTGAATCCTTGGAAATCGTTACTCTCCAGATCAAAGATGGACCCCAAAAGAGCAGCATCTTTGAGGAATCTCCCCTTTAGGAATGGACTCCCTTGTTGGGTTCCATGTTGGTTTGCAGGGGAGTAGTCCTTCCCCCCATGTCGCGTGGGCCTTTCCGCCAGGCTTTGATCGGCAGGGAGAAATACTTCAACCGCCCGCTGCCTCGCGTGCCAGTCAAGGCGCGCCCTTTGCGGAAGACCTTGCTAAATAGGTACCCGTGTCCCAACAACAGCAGATTACCTTTCACTTACTTGCATACTGCTGGGGGGGGGGGTTGTCAAAACTTGGGGCACTGCTGAGAAAGGGGCCATGTTTTTGACAATCCCCCACATGTTTCCTTGTGGATACAAGGAGACAAATATGCGTGGCGAGACAGCCCCCACGTTTTTTTTGTTGGCAGTTGAGGGTATGTGGGACATCGATGCCTTCCAGAAAGATTCGCAAAAGGACTGCAAGTAGGAATTAGCTGCAGGAGACTCCTGCCAACAATTGGGGGACACGATAAGTAGGGCGGTGAAAGACATTTATTGCAGAACTGCCGCAAAAAACAAGTTCGAAAGCGCCGCATAAAAGTTGTGTTCCGCTTCCCATATCCTGCCCTCAGCCATTGACTATTCTAGTTCCCACGCGCAGCTCGAGCAAAGAGTTGCTTCATCAAGGCCTCTCGCGAAAGGTGCCTTTCATGCCGCGGTTCCCCGGACAGCGCTTGCAAGCAGGGTTTTGATATATCGAGGCCCAATTGATGCGAAATTTGTGCTCGAATGTTCTTGGCAAAAAAAGTGCCCGAAACGTTTCTGGGAGCCAGCGACTTTGCGCTAGTCTAGTGACCAGAATTTAGGCAGTTGTTGAAATTGCGCTCGGTTGCGCGGATTTTATTCCCAGTTGTTCCAAATTGCGCCCGAAGTTGCACCGAATTCCGCTCAACGCGGGGCACATTTCGGTCCAAGCCGTCTGCAAAACTGTTTGTTTCCAATCGTGCAGAAAACAGCGCTCGAACTCCAAAAATGCAATTGAGCACTTTTTTCTGTATCAATTCGGCCTCTTAGATATTTCTCAGACTAGGCCAACGCCAGGCAATCTCTCACGTTTGACACGTTTTTGTGTATTTGTTAACAATTTGGCATTTGGAAGTGTGTGTGTTTTTCCCCAAAGGGGTGTCATGATTACCACCTGTATATGTTTGCTGTTGGGATTCGCTGATCTTGGCTGGGGCAAGAACGATGGTACCGTCCGATCACCACTTTCTTCCAGCTGCCTCTTCGCAATTACTCTTCTTCCAAGCAAGGTCTAATCTAAGAGAGCCTTTCCCTTCAATTCAAAAGGGCTAGTTCATTCTTTTTGGCACCGAGCCGGAGGTCAAGCAGCAGCTTGAAAGAGAGCTGGCCCCGATGAGCGAGTACCGGAAGCGGATGGAGGCAGCGCCGAGTCTTTTTGCAGAGGGGAAGGGGCAAGCCAAGAGGCCACACCCAAGAAAGAGAGAAACTGCCATTTTTTGGATCCCCTTTTTTGAGGCACGCAGATTGGGATCCCCTAAAAGGGCTCCTTCTGGTGCCCCTTTACAACAACCCCGAAAGGGGTCTATACCCTCAAAAAGGATATACGCACCTGTACCTGTGGATGAACTTTCAATGCTGAATCCACCCTTCTGCGAACATTTGTTGAATTTTAATTCTTCCACCTTCCATTTTGAAGGGCATTGAACTTCTTGAGGCCTGGCATCCCACCCGATTGCATTTCTGAGGCGCACACGAAGAGCAGCAAGAAAATTGCCGGCACTCCGGTGGAGGCCAGTCACTTCCTCACTTCGCCAGTTTGGAGCTGACGTTGATGATTCCATTGTCCCTTTCTTTCGCATCCCCTGGCACATGCACTTTCATTTAGAGAGGCCAACACCCTGAGTGGGTGTAATGTATACTCACAAACTGGCTTTTTCCAGGATGGGACATAAGCAAGTTTCAGGTCTGTTTGAAAGGAATTCCAACACTGCAGTATCCGTTCAACTCTGTCGTCCTTATTCCCTCGACTATCTCCCGTTCTCATCATGAGAATACAAATGCTAGGGATAAGAGGATACTCAAGGAATGAGGGAATCCTAGGGGAATATAAAGGGAATGCTAGGGAAGCACTAAGGGTGATGACTAGGAAACACCAGGCAAATACCGACGGACATACTTGGGGAATATTTTGGGAATTCTGGGAGGAATGATAGAGGATTTCTCAGGGAATACTAGCGGAACACGAAGAGAATACCAAAAGCATGCTAAAGGAATACTAGGACACCACTGAGGGGATAATAGGAGAATAGCAAGGGGAATGCAAAGGGCATACTAGGAGGATACTAGGGGAATACTGTCACTGTGAGAATACTAGGGAAGTACTACGGGCGAATACCAATAAAAGACTCGGGGCAAAAGAGGACCACAAGGGGAATACTACGCGAATACTAGCCAGGACATACGAGGAACATATTGAGGGAATGTTGGAATTACTGAGAGAATACTCGGGGTATACCTAGAGCAAAGCTAGGGAAATACTAGGAGACCGCAGAGGAATACTGAGGGAACACTTGTGGAATATTAGCAGAGTACCAGGAGAATTCTAGGGGAATAGTAGGGGGCATCCTAGGGAATATAGAGGGAATATAAAGGGAATACTAGGGAAGTACTAAGGGTGAATACTCGGAAAATACTATACCGGAATACAGAGGGAATACTTGAGCAACATTAAGGGAGTACTAGGGGCACACAGGAAATACTAGGTGCCAATAGAATTCTGAAGG